GGGTGGCCCTTTTTTTCTAGTTCCGCCACTGCCGTACCCCAGCAGGTCAGAGAACTTTAGAGATCCTTGGATGGCGGCCCATACCCCAGCAGGACAGAGAACTTTAGAGATCCTTGGTTAGTGGCCCATACCCCAGCAGGACAGAGAACTTTAGAGATCCTTGGATGGCGGCCCATACCCCAGCAGGACAGAGAACTTTAGAGATCCTTGGATGGCGGCCCATACCCCAGCAGGACAGAGAACTTTAGAGATCCTTGGATGGCGGCCCATACCCCAGCAGGACAGAGAACTTTAGAGATCCTTGGATGGCGGCCCATACCCCAGCAGGACAGAGAACTTTAGAGATCCTTGGTTAGTGGCCCATACCCCAGCAGGACAGAGAACTTTAGAGATCCTTGGTTGGCGGCCCATACCCCAGCAGGACAGAGAACTTTAGAGATCCTTGGTTAGCGGCCCATACCCCAGCAGGACAGAGAACTTTAGAGATCCTTGGTTAGTGGCCCATACCCCAGCAGGACAGAGAACTTTAGAGATCCTTGGTTGGCGGCCCATACCCCAGCAGGACAGAGAACTTTAGAGATCCTTGGTTAGCGGCCCATACCCCAGCAGGACAGAGAACTTTAGAGATCCTTGGATGGCGGCCCATACCCCAGCAGGACAGAGAACTCTGGAGATCCTTGGATGGCGGCCCATACCCCAGCAGGACAGAGGACTCTGATCTTTGGTTGGCGGCCCATATCCCAGCAGGACAGAGAACTCTAGAGAACTGTAGTTGGTGGCCCATACTCCAGCAGGACAAAGAACTCTGGAGAACCTTGGTTGGCGGCCCATACCCCAGCAGGACAGAGGACTCTAAAGATCTTTGGTTGGCGGCCCATACCCCAGCAGGACAGAGAACTCTGGAGATCTTTGGTTGGCGGCCCATATCCTAGCAGGACAGAGAACTCTGGAGATCTTTGGTTGGCGGCCCATACCCCAGCAGGACAGAGAACTCTGGAGATCTTTGGTTGGCGGCCCATACCCTAGCAGGACAGAGAACTTTAGAGATCCTTGGTTGGTGGCCCATACCCTAGCAGGACAGAGAACTTTAGAGATCCTTGGTTGGTGGCCCATACCCTAGCAGGACAGAGAACTTTAGAGATCCTTGGTTGGTGGCCCATACTCTAGCAGAACAGAGAATCATTGAGATCTTTTGTTGGCGGCCCATACCTTAGCAGGACAGAGGACTTGAGATCTTTTGTTGGCGGCCCATACCTTAGCAGGACAGAGGACTCTTGAGATCTTTTGTTGGCGGCCCATACCTTAGCAGGACAGAGGACTTGAGATCTTTTGTTGGCGGCCCATACCTTAGCAGGACAGAGGACTCTTGAGATCTTTGGTTGGTGGCCCATACCCCAGAAGGACAGAGAACTTTAGAGATCCTTGGTTGGTGGCCCATACTCTAGCAGAACAGAGAACCATTGAGATCTTTGGTTGGCGGCCCATACCCCAGCAGGACAGAGGACCATTGAGATCTTTGGTTGGCGGCCCATACCCCAGCAGGACAGAGGACATTAGAGATCTTTGGTTGGCGGTCAACACCCCAGCACTGATGACGGGCAGTGATTATGATGATGATGATGATGATGATAATGCTGACAACAAAACGCTGAGGTCAAACCTAACTCCACTTCGTTCGCTCCAGCAGCACTAAATCACCCCCCCCCCCCCCCCCCCACCACACACACAAGGAAGTTTCAAATCCCCCATATCCTTCCTGTTGTATAATATACACTTCTCTATTACAAGTTCGCTAAATATCAAAGCTGACACCCCCTTTCCTATTTACTAGCACTCGTAGAAAATTGTAACCAACACCCCGTCAGGATTGACGTGTTTTGTCTAAAATAATGTTCCCGGAGGGGGGGGGGGGGGTTCCTCAACTAGACAGGCACTTTGGATCTAATGGTTAAATGCCCGCTAATTTATCTCTCTTAGAGCAATTGGCCCGGACAAACTCAGCTTTGTTACGTGATTGGGTTGTTTAGGCTATTGATCTGGTGGTCAGTGATTTGTTTGATAAACAGGTGATTTGGCTAACGTTTTGCTTCGCGCTGACGATGTTGTAAAATGCCCATACAGTATAGCGGTTTTGAAAAATGGGCACTAGTTTCGCTTGTAATGATTTAGACGGACAATAGCCATTGAGCTCATATGGTGTGCATTGGACAATAGCCACTGAGCTCAAATAGTGTTGTATTGGACGGACAATAGCCACTGAGCTCAAATAGTGTTGTATTGGACGGACAATAGCCACTGAGCTCAAATAGTGTTGTATTGGACGGACAATAGCCACTGAGCTCAAATAGTGTTGTATTGGACGGACAATAGCCACTGAGCTCAAATAGTGTTGTATTGGACGGACAATAGCCACTGAGTTTAGGGGGTAGGGGACGCCTAAATGTGTAAAAAAAAATGTAATGCCTTTTTTATCCCAATAACAGAAAAATGCAATATGCATAGTCCAAGTTAAGAAAATAGACACATAACTGGGTTTATTGGCTGATTGAGATTGTTTCTATATCAGTTGTATAGCCGGAACGTATTATTTATTGATCAGTGACCCACGTCTTGCGAAATTCGTTGCGCTTTTTCGACAACGTAAATCAAGATTAGTTTATTCTACAGAATTAGCGTGTAGACAAATCATTAAATACAAAGAAAAATCATTATATAGTCTAGAGTTATGTTTATTTACATAAATACTGAAGAGATCAAAGAGTTATACGTAATGATCTACATCCAGTGTATTAAAGCGACGTAACTGCTCCTTTGATCAGTAATAAAGATGGGGGGGGGGGTGAGTCACAGACACACCTAGACACACAGCCTCTGATGCACGCACACGCAGACATATATACACACATACACACACGTGCACTCGCACACACACAAACACATAGACACGCACAAACAGACATACATACACACACAGACATACACACGTGCACTCGCCCACACACAGACACATGCATGCACGCTCACACAGACATACATACACACATGCACATGTGCACTCGCACACATACAGACACATGCACGTACACATTTACAGACACATGAACACGCATGCCCACACACACATACACTAACATGAAGCGGTGGCTTAAACATAAGTGTGGCCACTACCTGAGTATTACCCGCTACCTCTCATTATTTTGAAGGGACCTGAAATTTGGGGGTCTTTAACTGCCGTACGATACTCCTTCACCTTAAACCACCACGCACGTACATAAACACAAACACAAACGACGTCATGTTGTAGTGTGAGGTTTATAGGGCTGGTAAGTAGGTCACCAACCAGTTCTACGGCTCAATAAAACCTGCATGAGCCATAGAACTGGTTGGTGACCTACTTACCAGCCCTATTATTTACGAATAATTTAGCACGTTGAAGTAACCACCGGCACACAAAAGGCAATGCAATCTGTCCGCCATTAATTACAAGATCCTAATGATGATGTAATGGGAGACAATTCGTGAGCGCAACGATAGCGGTGACACCGCTTGTCCTTAGTCGGGCGCTTGTTGGTCGTTCCATCGGCATTCATCGCGTCATTAACAGCTGGGGTGAGAACAATTGGTTGCTATTGGCAACCAGCGCGTCTTCATATGTAGGTGAACTATTTATCATTGTCATTAGTTATTCCTGTTTTTTAAGGCTTTTTGTTTAACTGACTAGAAATATGTGGCTCTGTAGTGTTAATTTAACCCACTTCCCTTTGTCCGATTGAGCTGAAATTTGATACAGTGGTAGATTTTGGATGACAATGCAAGAATATCTTTTTTTACTCTTTTTTTTTTAAAGTTATGTTTCTTTTTATCTGTGGTAGTTTTTACTCGAAGTGTTTTACGTTATCTCTATGTTAGAGTATGCTAGTAGTTGGTAGCGCAACGTCCCTCTAGCCGGCCGTTACGCTAGCTGCCCTCCCTCTAGCCCAGAGGCCTCCAAACTTTTCAGTCGGAGGGCCGCTTTAACTATCAAATTTCAGTTCGGGGGCCAGTTTCTTCCAGGCATGTCTTTGATTTTTCTGGGCAAAGTTCCTAAGCCATCACCAACAAACGGTTTTTCCGTGGACAAAAAAATCTCCGCGGGCCGGAAGAGAGGACATCGCGGGCCGCATTCGGCCCGCGGGCCGTAGTTTGGAGACCCTGTACTAGACTATAGTCTCCCTAAAACATAGCCGCCAACAAGAGCTTTCCAGGCAACTCGCTCCTGGGCTAGTTTCTCCAATTGCTACCAGACAAGCTAATCTTTCTAATCTCATCTTCCAGATAGTCTATAGTTTTTCTTAACCCTTCTCATTTGCTCTTTGTGATTCCACCATTGTACCAAAGTTGTTTAATTTCTCCTGTGGTAATCATGTATATGTAGATGGGACTAATTAACTATATCAGCCGTGTTCAACATGCATGTATGTTAAAACCAAGTCCGGTATCGACCACTTAATGTCACAATGTGTCACACCATTCAGCCAGTCCTACCACCTGCTGTTGGTTTACTACACTCATAAAAGTAATTTACTCATGTGTGAGCGCGCTTGTGTTATCAAGTACCGTGAGTTTTACATCGATTGTTTTTAGCATAATTGTTGAAAGAAAAATTAACACTTCGGTTGTCGTTTCTAGCGAGGCGATGCTGTGTTCATTGGTGTCTATGGGTGTTCTAGGGGAGTCTATGTGTCCTTAAGTAATTAGGCTTGTCGGGTACCCGTCTCACTTTATTACTGACCATTAAACACAGGTTATCATAAATCACTTGAGTCTATCGCTCAGCTGATTGCCAGTACCCTTACTCTTACACACAGACGGTTACACCCTCCCTCCGCCGATATATATTTTTAACATAGCATCACGAACAGACCACCAGCATACCACCACGACACAGACCACCAACATACCACCACGCCAAAGACCACCACGGCACAGACCACCACGACACAGAGCACCAACATAGTACCATGACACAGACCACCAACATACCACCAAGACACAGACCACCAACATACCACCAAGACACAGATCACATACATACCACGCCAAAGACCACCACGACACAGACCACCAACATAGTACCACGACACAGACCACCAACATACCACCACGACACAGACCACCAACATACCACTTTTACACAGACCACCAACATACCACCACGACACAGACCACCAACATACCACTCCTACATAGACCACCAACATATACCACATACAGACCACCAACATACAACCACGACACAGGCCACCAACATACCACCACGACACAGACCACCAACATACCACCACGACACAGACCACCAACATACCACCAACATACCACTCCTACACAGACCACCAACATATACCACATACAGACCACCAACATACCACCACGACACAGACCACCAACATACCACCACGACACAGACCACCAACATACCACCACGACACAGACCACCAACATAGTACCACGACACAGACCACCAACATAGCACCACAACACAGACCACCAACATAGCACCACGACACAGACAACCAACATAGCACCACGACACAGACCACCAACATAGCACCACGACACAGACCACCAACATACCATCACGACACAGACCACCCCAACACAGTCCACCAACATACCACCACGTCTCCAACACAATACCTCAATACACTACACGTATTCACACACCCTTACCACAAAACAATCCACAATCTACAGACTATTATTAACGCCCACTTCCTTGTATAGGATCCACCCAACCTCTACACTCTATCAGTCTCATCCTATCATTATTATCTGCTCCCTGCTTGTTAAATTAAGCCCACAGAGACCTATTTCAATCGAATTGAAGCCATAGCCTCTTGTTCAAGTAATGATTTTTTTAAAAGAATACTTGCGTTGCTGTGTAATTCTATGGACTTTCCCGTACATGGCGTTTCGCCATTTAAAGCTAATTTACCCCTCCTCTACTCCCCTTACATAAATCGACAAGATAACATCATAATGTTCTACATCCCTACACCTGTTACTAGTCATTCAGACCTGAAAATCATATAAATATATCAAGTAGAGTTGATCTGTTTTTTTTTAACATAGCATCTGAACATATAATATGGACAGCATAATACCCATCCACCTATTCTTTACCGAAGTCCGGGATGGACAGTGCCCCCCCCCCTTTTTTGGAGAACGCCGCCCCCCGCCCCTCTTTACCCCAGACGAAATTTTTGGTCGGCATGGTTGAGTCGGTAAAGGTCATGGTTGCTAAACCGTAAAGTCTCGAGTTCAAACCCACGGGCTGATAAGGCTCGATAACTGTGGGACAGGATCTCTACTAGGAGAGACAACTCCAAAATCAAAACCACTGCTGCCTTGTAGTTTGTTCTTGGTTGGACAAAGGCTATGGAAGTAAATCCAAAAATAAAAGCAGGCTGAAGTCGGAGTCAACAACCTATATGGCACATAACAAGTTGACACGTAATACTTATTTGTGTTCGAAGTAATCCCTTCCAACATTAAAAATTACGAACGAAGAAGAAAATCCCATTCATGTGAGGAAAGGCGCATTCTTTTAATCATTGCAGCTGAATAGATAGACACACGACCGAATCATTAACATGTTCCATGTTTTAAAGAGTTTTACAGTACGAGGTTTACCCTTACTGCTCACGTGTTGATGGCACATGCAAATCGCGCAATTGTTATGCGCATGTTTTACTGTTGGCCTATACACTTTGCTCTACGTCACTCAAGCCGGAAGCGTGTGATTTGAAACGGGATTTCTGATTGGCCCAGACTCCGGACACTGAGCTCATGAGTTATGTAGGAAGATTAAGGAACCACGGTGTAACTTGAGCAGGGTGTTGGTTTACAAATAAACAAATGGGGGGGGGGGGGGTAGATCTGCGAACAGTATTTTAATAGATGTTTACTGATGTGGAGGCGTAAGGCCGCTTGTACTAACAATAGTGTCGACCGAGCCCGCTAAAAACAAGTATATTTACGCCCACGCTTTGGGTTTTACCTAATACACCCCCCCCCCCCCTGGATGATCGTGACCTATCCAGATGATAGACTGACCCATATTAACCTCCAGTGATCGAGACCCATCTAGATGATGAGACCGACCCAGATGATGAGACCGACCCAGATGATGAGACCGTCCCAGATGATGAGACCCACTCAAATGATTGACTGACCCACATTGACCCAGTTGGCCGACCTAGATGACAGACACTCATATGATTTACCGACCCATATGACAGAGACCCACTATGACAGAGACCCGCTCATATCATTGACCGACCCATACTGACCTAGACCGACCCAGAAGGCCGATATCGCCTCCCTTTCTGGATATGACCCAGACCACGACCCCAACAGCTATGGATTAAGTTAATAAAACTGTTTCGATCGGTTTGTCTATAAATGATATTGAGTTGTTTTCGTTTATTTTTACACGCTTCCCCCCCCCCCCCTCCCTAAAATTACATCAAAAATTAACATCGGCCTCTATAAATAAGCATACGTCTCCTGGATTTTCATCTTTTTTTTTTCTTTATGAAAAAAAAAAAAATCCTACAGCTCATAACATCGCACAATGTCTCAACATTCTTACCCCCCACCCCACTTATTTTTCTCTCCAGTAGTAGTGTAACGTCATTTATTGACGAAATCACTAAACCGTCTCTGAAGATGTTTTTACCCGGCACAGCCGTGTAGACAATTATGTACATAATTACTTATCAATACTTGTGGTCATATTGACCTTTATGGTCCCTGGGTGAATCATTGCCTTGAGTCAGGCAATGTTCGTGCATTGCGGGAGGTTTGAGCAATGGGGTATAGAGTCATGATAAAACAAGGATAGAATAAAGCAAGAATAAAGCAAAACAAGAATAGAAAAAAACTTTTAAAATAAGCTTTCAACTGCACTGAAAATAACTAAAAAAAACAGTCTCTCTTTAGTAAATGCATTGGTCGCTCATGAAATCTCTTACACATTTTAGTGCCGATAGAGTAACAGGCGTAGTTAGGGCGCCGACCATAGGAGGCGCCAACCGGGGATAAAAATAAAAGCCTATTCTGAGCTGTATTAATGCTTTATACAGTGAAAGTTCAGAAAATAAACTGCTTCTTGGCTTTCTAGACTTTATAAACGATTGTCCACAAAATATAAAATGGTAAAGAGACAGCGAATAACTATATTGAAAAGGGGGTTGGGGAGGTGCAACCTTGATAGTTTGCACCGGGCGCCGGTATGTGTCGCTACGCTTCTGTAGAATAACGGTATGAGATGAACTTTGTCTTTTGGCGGAGTTTTTCTCTCGCCCTCTTTCTCCGGAACTCGCTGTTGTATATGTAGGGCTGCAACAAAGTTCCTCCACTTGCGTCTATGTTGGTCCAGCTTTCTCAGTCTCCCCCCCCCCCCCCCCCCCCCAAGGTTTTGATGACTTGTACTTATGTCACTCTCCACTGTACGTCGCCAGGTAGTCTTTGGCCGCCTTGTCCTAATTTTGGCCATCTGGTGTCCAGTTACGCTCTGTCGAGTTCGGTCTCTGCCAGTCCAAAAAATTATCTGCCCAGATATCAGGTTGTCTTACACACATTAGAGTATCTATAGTTGCTGTTTCCGTAACCAATGGACAAGACAGAGTTGACGAGAATCACGCCATAATTATTGTTGACATGGATAAAAATCTTTTATTTTTATTTTGCAGTGGCCTTAACAAAATTATAAAATAAAAACTTAAGCCTTAAAATAATTCTGGAATTTTTATTTTTTGGAGTTTAAGGCTTGATTTCTATTTATTTTCATCAAGCCTAAGTTATAAATAAACTGGAGTTTCACTTTCTTAAGACAAACATTGCTTAGACTACAGGAACTCTGTGATTGATATTCTGAAAACCCCACTTCATAGTAATTTGTTCTCAAAACTTTACCGATAAAGTTTTAAAATAAAATATTTTTTTTTTAAAACAACATGACGTAGTTCTGCCATTTTCGTTTAAATTTTCTATGATAAAAATTTAACACATTGTTTTTTTGGCTTATTATTTATTTTTAATAACCAAAAACACTTAAATGCATCTAATCTTTAGTTAAGTCCAACAAAAATCAGTCTCATTTTTATAAACATATTTATTTTATAACATCGTACATTAATTTTAAAATATTCAACGGGCCTTCTCATAATTTTGAGACTTTTCTCTGTTGATTCCATTTGTATTGCACGGTTTCGGGTTGTTTGCCCAGGGCTAAAGCTTTTATCCTGCTGTATCAACTTTCGTCTGGCTCTACTCTCCACCCTGTCTCCAGTCCACAAGGTTCCTACCTACCACTAGTGAATGATCACCCACTAGTGAATGATCAACCACTAGTCGTATCATTCACTACTTGTTGATCATTCACTAGTCGTTGATCATTCATTAGTCGTCGACCATTCACAAATCGTTGATCATTCACTAGTGGTTGATCATTCACTACTTGTTGATCATTCACTAGTCGTTGATCATTCATTAGTCGTCGACCATTCACAAATCGTTGATCATTCACTAGTGGTTGATCATTCACTACTTGTTGATCTTTCACTAGTCGTTGATCATTCATTAGTCGTCGACCATTCACAAATCGTTGATCATTCACTACTTGTTGATCATTTACTAGTCGTTGATCATTCATTAGTCGTCGACCGTTCACAAATCGTTAATCATTCACTAGTGGTTGATCATTCACTAGTCGTTGATCATTCACTAGTGGTTGATCATTCACTAGTCGTTGATCATTCACTAGTGGTTGATCATTCACTAGTCGTTGATCATTCACTAGTGGTTGATCATTCATTAGTCGTCGACCATTCACTAGTGGTTGATCGTTCACTAGTGGTTGATCATTCATTAGTCGTTGATCATTCACTAGTCGTTGATCATTCATTAGTCGTTGATCATTCATTAGTCGTTGATCATTCATTAGTCGTTGATCATTCATTAGTCGTGGACCATTCACAAATCGTTAATCATTAACTCACGTGTCACTCAAGAATTTTGTTGTATAATCAACTACTGTTAAAGCGCTAAGTTATCTGAACAGTTGTTAAAATCTAGTGGCTAATCTTCGGGGAAATAGCATGTGGTAGTGTTTACCTACGATATTATAATTTACGAGTTACGCTTTCGTCTAGCTTTACACATACAGGGTATCGTACTTGTGATTTCTTATCGCACACATGTACTCGATTACGTAATTGTGAGTTAAGGTTTTCTTTTACTTTACACATATATATATATATATTTTATATACATTTGCATATGGTTCCTTTTGCCTAGATAGATAGTAGATGCGTTCAATAAAGTGAAATCCTTTTCGGGGTGGGTAGGCCTACTTGGTGATCAGTAAAAAAGGATGGATTGCCCATGCATCGATCAAATGCCGGTATAGCTGACAGAAATGCTAAGCCATACGCTTGGG